CCCCCCCTGGAATTTGGAAGTTTACACACCACACCCTCCCCCCTCGGTAGCTTCGCCCCCTCGTGTCCGCTTACTGCCCCCCCTGGCATTTTGCTCAGGCTACTGCCCTGGAGTATGTTTTCCCCCAATAACGATGGGAGACATGTTTTAGGTAATCCCAGAACCACAAACTGAAAAGAATGTGACAGATGAATTCAAATATATCCGACTGGAAATGAAAAAAATTGCCAGTGTCACACTAAGTAACATATTTTACTATGGGGTTATACCATAGTACTGCATGCAACGCTCTCCAAAAGTTTTCATATGATGAATATCTCAAGCTTAAGGAGGCTGCTCTTTGTTTTACCAAGAAGTTATAAAGATTATAACTTCTTGGTTTTACAGACAGTCAGAAATAGGTGGAACAGTTAAAAAGCAGCTATTTAGCACCTGACCTCTTTCGTAGAATTACAGTAGGTTGATCTTTATCTGATGTCAGGTCATAGAAAAGTTGCTGTAAAGCCTTAACTATTATTATTATTATTATTATTATTATTATTATTGACATTAGCATAACTATAAAAGGTAGTTCTATAAGACATAAAGGGGGAGGCAAATTTATTAAATAACTTATGTGATACTCCTCAAGTCCTACCATATACATAAAGTATGAACCATTTACAGTACGGAGAACGATTGTTCTGTGGTATTATAAACATTTGAGCCTAATTATCAATGGCATTTTTCAATTTGGGTTTTCAGCACTCTTATATAAATACCTATGTGAGACCCCAAAGACCCAAACAGCTGTCCTCACAGGTCTGCTCTGTAGCTGAGGCTGATAAAAAAACCAACAAATTACTAGTAATTCCCTCCGATTTGATAAGGACGTATCTAAAAATGCTCATCAACTCCACTTCGTTTATCGATAATCTGATTACTGTAGCTCGGCTATTAAGTTAAAGAAACACTCGGCCAAAATAATTGACCAGCAAAGTGGGCGTTCATCGAATTATTCTTTGATAGCAAAAAACGCATAAATCGAATTGCTCAGTTTAATCTTTAATTTGCGATTATTTTATGATAAATCTGATGACCATAACGTCCAGGTAGAAACATGAATTTTAAGTGTATGGGCTACATTATCAGATAAGAAATAACACACAGGACGTGTTCATAACTATGTGGCATAAGATGAACAATGGGTAAGAGAAGAAATGGAAGTCGTCATCACCATCTCGGCTCTATGGCTTAGTTGGTTAAAGCGCCTGTCTAGTAAACAGGAGATCCTGGGTTCGAATCCCAGTAGGGCCTCTTTTGTATAAATGTTGCATTTTTACAATATTTGATAATATGTAAGTTATTGAACACGAGTAAAGTAAAATATAGTCTATAGATGTTACATATATTACCGATAAATATGTAATAATATCTATTCGAGATTCATATTTGTGAGCAAAAGCCATACAGTTGACGTGACTGTAATACCCACATAAGAGAATATATATATTTTATTTTCCCAACGAACAGCATAATACTGCAGCAGAATAAAACAGGCCAGACAACTCAATAATTCATCAAAAGTTGAAATACGACTGCCATCATTATGTTGAATAATTTGCGATCCATCCAATTTACTGAACTAAACAAAACAAAACTATACTAAAGAGAGTAACTGCCATTCCCTAAAGAATAGAATCCACCCAAACCCGAGATTCTTTCCGCACGACATCCATGTTGACCGTTCACCCGAGAATAAAAAAACGTCCACATTAGCCGAACTCAGTCATATTTATTTTACTTCCCATTCCGAGAAAAAAGATTGTAGTGTAAGTAATTACTACCCAGTTCTATATCATAAGGAATTTAAGATTTGTTCTAGAAACCCCACGATATCGTGCTTGCATTAGATTTTCACACATAGATTATATATTAGTAACTTAGTACAATCTCTGTATAAGAGGAAGTTGAAGATCGTCTCATCTAAAGAAATCGGACCCGTTCCTAAAAAGTAAATAATAATGCATTAAAGGAAGAAACCCTCACCACAAATAATCACACGTTTTAAATGGTTGTGCTTTATACTTACGGATCTATCTCACAGCTGAAATATTAATAAAAGCATATTATGGTTTAAGCATTAAAAAAAGACGAGCGATAAATGAGGAAAAGAGTAAACGAAAGCAGTTCACGTAGGTCTCGGGTTCAGAGAACGTTCATATTAAATTCAATCTTAATTCACGAAATCATACTGAGTGAGTCGACAGAAGGTCATAAAAACTTGTCTAGGGATAATGGAAGAAACCCTGTAATAAAAAATCGAAAACAACGCGCCATCAACTCTTGGTAGTCTTGTACAGGAGCTCCAACATCCTACACGGCTTGGAGTTGAACCTCATTAGCACATTCAGAGCAGGTGACCCGCAGACTAACTGATCTGCCCCACGTTAAAGCGATGCCGCTAATTCTCTGATGATCTCCCCTCCTCCGCCATTAAACTTATTTGACCTCGGCTCCGAGGCTTAATTGTTAGTAAAGGCCTCTGCAGCAGCAGCGCGTGTGGAGGCGGGGAGACCATCAGGGAATTAACGACAACGCTTTTAATTCGGTCGGTCGTATTTGGTCCGCGGATCATCTTGCTCTGAATGTGCTTAATGTACGTCGTGTAATATAGAAGTCTTTTTTTACGTTTCGAGAGATAAGACGAAAGTTTCTTTGCTTTTAGTCCTTATACAAATAAACAAACAACAAAGCACATCTATTTATTTACAACATAAGCTCTCTAAACCACGGCGTCAATGAATGTGCAACCATGACAACGCAAGTAGCGCCTTCTTGGGATTAAGATAAAGGGCAATAAGAATTGGTCTTTTGCAAAATTCTGCTAAAAACACGAAAGCGTTATCACTGCGGCAACTTGCGACTAAAGACACATAGTGAGCTTAAGTGCTTAATATAGCAAAATATTTGTATTTTCCAGGAAATAGCAACATTTTCCCCTAACCACTAACGTATATTATATCCAGAAGTTTTCACAGAATTACGATCCATAAACCGCAATTCCATTTTTAGTTCTAAGTATCTAGTTTTTGAGACAGTGTCGTCTGGGAGAGAGAGAGACAGATCAATTTCACTAGCAACGGTAAAACTGGAAGGAGGATAGATAGTTATATCCTTGACGTTTTTGGATAGGATATGCCTTGGTAAAAAAAAAAAAAAAAAAAAAAAAAAAAAAAAAAAAAAAACCTAAAAAAAATTCCTGGAAAGGAAAACTTTTGCTATATGAAGGTCTAACACGCCACGTATGCATTTAAGTCCACGAACGCGAGAGTCGATAATAGGCACCGTAGAAAAGAAGGCTGGTCTTGTTAATATGTACATTTGGACACTAGACACACACTGAGCTTGTATTTTCAAAGCAGATTAGTATTATTGCAGTGTTTTGTCTTCACCACAAGATTGCGTTTACGTTAGCATGTTGAACGTGATATTGCTTCTATCGATTTTCATCGCTTATCGATTGTTCTCCTCTGGGGACGATACAGCGATGACACATTAACAGGGAGGACGCGCAAAACGCAGGTGTCGCAGGCGATGTGAAATTCCCTGTGGGATATTGCCATTTTCTAGATATCACTGTCCTCGTTTGGGGGGGGGAGGGGGGTACAAAATCATATACGTAGGCCTACGGAAGCTTGCCTCGAATGTTTTTATTGTCTTTGAATTTGATCGTGACCAACCGATTCTTCCCGTCCCCTGCCTGTATGGTACATGTGATGTATAGAGAGACATAATATGGCACGTGGTTGTTAACATTTTGAAACTCAAAATACATAGACCTGTAGTTTTAATAGGTTGTTAAGAATAATTGAGGGCCTGATACTGGGATTCAATGCTTTAACGGTAGTTAAGCTGTCAAATGTGCGATATAAAGCAAAAATAAAGACAGTGAAAAATTGTCAATTTTGATGCAATTCGATACTTACTGCATTTGTGCATGTTAAAGGTAAGTTGGACATTCAGAAAATGATACAGATATTTTCTACTTACTCCTGCGCTTTATGAACTGGAGGGAAAAATTAGGTCAAATTTACGACAAGACATTTGTAGAAGGCATAGTTTAAAGATTTTTTCTGCTGTCCAGGAGATTAATGGTCTTTTCTATCTTTTATTTATTTATTTATCTATTTATTTATTTATTTTTGGCATGTGGATTTTATTTGTGTCGTGTAAGAAACTAGCACTAATAATTCATATACGTTACAAGGCAGTTACTCTAGCTTCCTGTGTATCTTTTTAAAACTTTCTTTGAAGTTAGTGCGTGCCCTGTTTTGAAGATGCAAATCACTGCATTGAAATGTCTTTCTGGTGAATAGAAAACAGACAAATCAATTGTTTATTTTGAAACTTGTGGTGACTGGTGCATATGTATGTCAGGTCTAATTAGATCTCAGCTTTTGTATCCCAGTCCATAAATTTTTGATTGACAGAATCTGACACAGAAAGCCGCGATGGTGACCAACGGTTGCTTCCCGTCCCCTGCCTGCGTGATACATGTGATATATAGAGAGACATAATATGGCACTTGGTTGTTAACATTTTGAAACTCAAAATGCATAGACCTGTAGTTTTAATAGGTTGTTCAGAATAATTGAGGGCCTGATACTGGGAGTCAATGCTTTAACGGCATTGGACTTTAAAAGCTGTCAAATGCGCAGATATAAAGCAGAAATAACGACAGTGAATAATTGTCAATTTTGATGCAATACGATAAAACGTTACTTGCTGCATTTCTGTATGCTAAAGGTAACTTGGACATTCAGAAAATGATAACAGGACTTCAGGCCCATGGGATTTCAAATTTCCACATTGAAAATGCCAATATGTGAAAATGATAATTTCACAAAAACTACGTAACTTCAACACAAGAATCTAATCAGGCTGGGTTGCGTACGTTACGAGCGGTGTTTTAATACCGTGGATCATTTCTGTAAGTTTGAGACTAAAAAATTACAAGATTTCCCTTTTCTGTATCGTGTTTACGATGAAAAGTGCACGACGACAACAGACGCAGGCGGCGGCCCTATGTATAAAAATATGCGTGGAGACAACAACCCTGAGGACGCAGAGTACGTAATGCGTGTCATGTAAATTGACGTAATTTTCTCCCAATATAAAAAATTCATGGCCTTAACCAGAAGGCTAGCTGCACTTCCACGATCTATATACACAGGGGGATAATTCAGTGTCAGGTGGATTTGTTCCGAAGCAGGTAAAACCAGACGTATTACAAGGTAAAACCTCAATTGTTGTATACAATACAAGATAACTATGGTTCTTCAAGGATCTTGCTTGCGTCCTCATGAGCGTTAAACATTCGTACGCCATGGTTTGACATAAGAGTTATATATATGCTGATATTAGTCCCGAAACACTTACGGAGCCTTAGATCTCTCCAGCTTCACGTACATATAATTTTGAATATCACAATCAATAAATAACTAGATAAGTAAAAAGAATGACATGCTGTCGAAACATGCTTTCTATTGCTCTATAGTGTTGGATTATAAGAAAATAACCAAGACATATTACTCTTGGTTAACAGCGTTATATTATTACACCCTTGAGATTCAAAAACGCTGGGCTCGACGTTCAAATTGCAAGAACTCATTTAGTTACTAGGGGAGCATTCTGAACAGGTTGAACCGCGGACTAACAGATCCACGGATCAAATATGGCGCCACCCACTTGAATGCGTGACGAGATTTAATTGCCCTGCCTCCGCTGGGACGGTGGGAGTCCATTATCAAGTGCGCGCCATATTTGATACGCGGACTAGTTAGTCCCCGGGTCAACTTTATTGTGAATGCTCTCTAACTGTTAATATGGAAAAATTTCGTAGAGCATCCGAAGTGAAAAATTAGTTTTATACACGCATATGTTATGTTTTATGTCGAGGGGACACTATGGTACCTTACCCGATATAGGGCTCTATTTATTTCATCTCCATATTTTATACAAAAGCTGAGATGTTGTATTAAACTATAGTTTAAGGCAAATTGAGGAACGGGTGAATTTTTTTCACGTACTTGGTCATGCTTTATCTAGTAAGACTCTTAACGAATGTTCAGTATAGATGGACATAAGACGATGTGAAACCATTTATGTCATTAATTCTATGCTGCCCATGCATGTGTAGAAACATTAAGCCATGGCAAAAGTCTTGTCGTATTTTATTATGTCTCATCTAGCTCACCGTGTCTGTATATCCAGAACGTTTTTTAAGAAGATTAAAGACGAGCAATTAGCGTTAGACAAAAATATGGCAAAAATTACTTTTTCTGGAAATTTTAGCTATTTTCTTTATATCAACAAGGAATACCCTTTCAAAATCCGTTCACAAAATTTCGTCCCAAAAATTCGTATCTTATTTCTGAGTGTCTATTTTTCAGTGTTTCTTAATGGAGTAAGAACCTGGCGATTTTCTATCGTGACGGTAAAAATGGAAAGTTTAGAGCTCGGTGTCGGATTTATAGATCGTTGCTTTTACCAATGCCAATCTAACAAGTAACAGTTTTATATATATGCGTTCGCCTCTTAATGGCTATATTTAATTTGAGGACTTGCCACTGTATATGAACGGGTTAAAATGAATAAGGTCACTGGCAATCCTCGCTACTCAATGATGCACTGTCACGAGATGGTCAAAAGTATCAGAGCGGGGATCTCGGCAAACAACGGAAGACACCCTCCTGGACTCATAGAGTAATTTAAACATTATTCAACGTCGACAAGAGGAAGAGTTGTAGGTTATGCTACTCTTTTACCATCTGATAGGTATAACGCGGCAAACGTAAAGTATAATCAGCGATAAAAGATGTCCGTAGATTACCGTCTAAACGTTATCTGACGGAAGAGTACAAGAGACTGCTCTAATGACAAGCTTTCCTTTTTTCTCTATTATACTTGCTGATTAAGAAGGAAATGACTTTTGGGGGCATATAGTATATAAATTGCAGCAGCAAGGCTAGGGGTGGGGGTGGGGGTTCGGGCATGGGGGAGTAGTGTATGGGAGGAACAATTGATCGTTATAAAAACAGTACCCTGGAGAGGGGAGCTCAAGTGTGGAAAAGGGAAATTCATAAGTGACTTTACTCGGTTAACGCACAAAAACCTTGTGACACTGTGCCCCTGATGTTCTAGGATGCTCACCCACAAGAATTAGGTGTACAGACTACACCCACTCTTATCGCCCATACGAACCCCCCCCCCCCCCCCGAACACTTATATAAGACACAGCCACAGAAACTTACGGCATAGACCCCCTCCATATAAGGTACTGCCACAAAATCTAACGGCGCAGAGCCGAACCCTCACCCCCACCCCCACCCCCAATTTACACCTACGATCGCACAAAAAACAAAACTCACGTTATTTTGGTCAGTTTCAGTGGTACCTACCTTCTCACCAGGTAACCGGCCGCTATAGATCCAATAAGTGTACACAGCAATTGTGCAAAGAATACCCAACTCATGTGGTTCAGATCCGTGGACGTCTGGCACCCAAGGTCTAGGAGCGTCGGTCCCAGAAACGCCACACACATCCCAAAACTCCAGAAAACGCTACAGTAGACAATGGTTGGGTGCCAGTTTTGTCGGAACAAGGACTTGAAACTGACTTCCTCAGCGCAGAGGGGGGTGGTTTCGTTCATGGCCTCCGCCGCGGCGGAGTGTGTCAGATCCCTGTTGGCATTTGTGGTGCCATTCACTTTGGAAGACAGCGGCCAGGAGTCTGACTTATTCCGTTCTTTTATGTTATCTCTGTCGTATTTTTCAGAGAAGTCTTTTCTCTCTTCCTCGTCGTCGTCGAATGTTTCCCATTCTGGGTGGGGGTTTCCACCAGCGGATCCATTCTGCTCCATGGCGTATTACGAGAACGGAATGTGATGTAACGTACGCTTCAGGTAAACGTTAGCGGTGACAGCCTATTGACTCCGTGTGTGTTAATGGAACGCTTCTGGGGTTCTTGTCGCTTCAGCCATGAATAAGACCATGTAGGATTCACGGCGAGTGCATTACTGGTGTGCACAACCTTTTACGTGTAGGTGTCAGTGTGTTAAAAGCGAAAATTAACCTCGTGAACTTGAACTCTTCCACAGAACCAGACCGACTAAGAAAGTCGCCCGCTCTGCTCTCGATGACAGCGATAGTGCTTCAATAAATGAACCTTCGCGTCAGGAACAGTGACATCTGGCTTCGTCGCTAGAGGGCGCCTGGAGTAGCGTGATATTTCCAGCTACTCTGTGTTGATTGTCCTCCACTGTGAGAACATTATCTAGTTATCTATGAATAATTTATCATCTCTTTATCGACATGTTGAATTATAGAGAAAATTGCACCGCAGAAGACGGAATAGTATAAGGCAATCATGGTTAGAGGCGCATAAAGGGATGGGGGAATTATTCGGGTTAAAGGGGTAGGTGATTTTGTTGGAAAAGGGGCAACATTAACGATGATATCATTCGTATAAGTGAAAGAGTCAGTTAAATGTCCATGTGCGTGCCATGTGTCATTAACAAAGTTTTTTAAAATGCGACTGGACGATGTTGACCTGATTTTATCTTTGAATGTGGACAGTGCAAAATGTGAAAAAGGGGAAATCTCTCTCTCTCTCTCTCTCTCTCTCTCTCTCACACACACAGACACACACACACACACACACACACACACACACACGTGCGCTATGCAATAACAAACAAATAACCAAAAAAACTCTTGAACTTTTGTCTATAAACAGCGCCCATGTGTCCTTTGCAGTGACTATGATCTATCCCTCTTTAACAGCTGGTTTAACAGTCCCTCCTTTTGAGATGGTATCTTTTTTATGACATCTTTAAGCAATTTAACTTACACAGGGAGACAAGACTGATATAGTGTCTATAGTGCGTGTACAGTGGAATTTTAAAATGCCACTTTTTATGCACGATTGATAGATAACAACGAGCAAAAATGACCAACACACTAATGTTTGAACATCGTGTAGAGAGAGAGAGAGAGAGAGAGAGAGAGAGAGAGAGTATTAAATAGTCTGTTTATTATAACCATGTAGCACGATTAAAATTTTGTTGTTGTTAACAAGTCAAAAAGATTGAAACAACAATCCAATTTTCGGTCTGATCACGCTGGTCGGAGACCGTGACACTCGTGTCGGAACCACCCGAAGTTTAGTTACTGTAACGCGCCATTCTGTAACATATAGTCCGGTTGCTTAGGGCAAAAAAATGGCCAAATCGTGACACAGCGGATAAAAGCACCAAATTTTGCATGTGGGTACCTTTTGACATACTAAATCAAATTAGAGCCGTAGCCCACAGAAAAAATTTACCGTTTGGCCAAAAAATCCAAAATGGCCGCCAATTTGTGAAATTTTGTAGAAATATATACATATCTATGTTGATTTTTATCAAATTAAGTATTTTCTCAATGTTTTCCACATCCTTATTACCCATATTATGCATATGTGTCAGATAACAAACTTGTGTCCTTGGACTTATTGAAAAATCCAAGATGGCCGCCGTATGGCATAGAAATACTAGAACATGTACAAGGGTTTTCAACTAAATAATGCCAACTAGGAAGATGCATTGCCCACTATCTAATTAATTTTGTTTCTTATTACACAAATAATATATTTGTGGTGAGTAACTAACCTTTATTCACAGGCAATTTGAGAAAAATCCAAGATGGCCCCCATATCAAAGGAATACTAGTATACACATACGGCTTCTTCTGCCATGGAGATATAATATTAATTGATAAATTAGGTTTGTTTCTGAGTATTTTCCACATCTTTT